GAGAGAGAGAGAGAGAGAGAGAGAGAGAGAGAGAGAGAGAGTTCTTCTTCTTCCTCTTCTAAGTCCACCATCTCCCTCTCACCCTCTCGCTACCTGACTTCACTGCATCAGCAGACTACGAGAGAGAGAGCTTGGGGATATTTGGATCCAGACTCGACATTGGGCTTCAGACATTTTGACAAGGGATTATTTGGGACTTGTAACGAAGACTTGGTGTTGACGACTTTTCCATCTCACCCCTCTTCTTCGTCTGATCCCCTCCTCTTCGTCTGTGCATGTCTGGACCTGGCGCCTTCTTCCTGTGTGTAGCGCCAGGCCCCTTCACACCTTGTGATGAGAATGATGTATGTTTAGTCTGCATTGCCACATTGATTGGGCTCGTCATTGGTATTCTAGCATTCCTGCTGCGCTCTTGTACTTCGTGCGAGAGGTCAGTCCCGGTCAGGTCAGGACTTGTATCTAAGTCTTTTCCTGCGCTATAAAGCACCATTGGTGTATGTATCAGAATGTACACTGCTTGTTGAGATTCTACTTGCACTGCATTGTCCATTCAATTCTTTTTATCACATTGTGGATCCTCGGTTATATATGTTCATCGCCCAACTGGGCATGTAACAGTTGGTATCGGAACACCACACGTGAATCATGACAACCTGATCTGATACGTGTGCGGGGACTAAGTAGCTGATTAGTCTTGACTGATTGATTAGAGCACACTAGTTAGCCCCCAAAATCATGATTTTGACCTCACTGCCGAAAATCAATTTTTTTTTTCTCCTTTTCTTGGATTTTGTTTTTCCGCTATTTCTGTTGTGAAAAATCCCAATAGCGTAACATCTGAAATTTTCGTTTTCATTTCTCTTATGAAAAAATCAAAATTTTGTTGCTGGAAAATCCGGAATATCTTTTTTCGAAAATTTTGATTTCCTTTTGCAATTTCCCATTATTTTAAAAAATCCGAAATATTTTTTTTCTGAAATTCGTTTTTTTTAAAAACGGTACGGGAAATCCATCTTGCAGTTATCATTCTCCAAACTGCACGTACTCTCATCTGAGTAATTCCGAATATTTTGTTGTATTTCATTTTCGTATTTCTTTATCGGAAAATCATTTGCAGTCTGAAAGTTTGAAATTTTTCTCATTGGTAATTTTGCACTTCAGGGGGAATTGGGAGGCCTCTTGAACTTGCAAACGAGTATGTTTTTCTTTTGCTCGAATTCTTTTTTGCAAAGTTCAAACTTTTCTTATTATTTTAGTGGCTCCTCATCTGGGCGATTATCCCACCCACCCCTCCCCACCCATGGTGTTGCCCCCTCTGGTCTTACCTTCTCTATTTGTCTCTGAGTACCCCCTGCGGCGGCATTGGTGAGTTGCCACGTGAGCAGGCCATGTGAGCAGACCACGTCAGCAGGCCACGTCAGCAGGCCACGTCAGCAGACCACGTCAGCAGGCCATGTCAGCCGACAGCAGTGCCACGTCAGCAGCAGGGAGTACCACGGCCCGGATGCTGCTTCTGGTTACCGAAGCCAAGCAACGGTCGGATGCAGTAACAGCCGCAGCAAAGAAGAAGGAAGAGGACACCGAGAAGGCACGTCTGTTGGCAATCGAACAGCAGCGCCAGCAAGACGAGGCAGCAACAAAGGCTGCCGATGAAGGAGTTCAACGACGCGAGAAGATATTCAGCAGAGAGCGAGCTTTGCTCACAATGGCAGCGGATTTGCGGGCTGAGGCCGAGAACGGTAAGATGGAAGAGAGTGAAAACAAGATCGCTCTACTCCTCTCCCATCTCACGGATCTCCTGGCAACATGCATTACACAGCAGGAGGACATCCACAGCCTCGACGACGCGTTGTCTCAAGTCCACAACCACCTCCACCAGCTAGAGCAGCGATCCGTCGCCGCCCCCGATGCCAACTCTTCCAACACCTTCGATCGCCTCGAGGCATTGGAGATTGACGTTGGATCCCTCAAGGACGGCGCGTAGTTACAGCAAACCGCGACGCAACAGTTGGAGCAGCGGATCTGTACTGCCGCCACCCACTCGAGCTCGGAACCGCGCGAGGCGCGTGCCAAGCATGGTTGGACAATCTTGTGTCCAAGTACGGAGTGGTGGCTGCCGACTTGCACACCAAGATCAACTGGGATGATCTAAAGGTGGCGCGGCATAAGCGGTTCCAAGTAGAGTCATCGGAGATCAAGGCAATGGACAAGCCGATGACCTTCGAACAAGGCACGTTGCCGAGTGTTGACTGGATTGTCGAGTACCAACGCTTGACATCCGTCCCAAACATTCAAATGGGCTTCAAGGCCGTCAAACACTACTTCATCTCGAGGTCGTGTCCGACGTTGGGCAATGCCTTGACTCACGTCGAGGACACCCTGACGACAACGACAGAGCTCTTCGACAAGGCCGCGCAGATTATTGTCACGAACAAGGAGGCTAAAAACCTCCACTGTTCGTCTGCGACAGGCCTGAGAGAGATCAGCATCGACCGAAAGTGGCCGTTCTCACGGCGGCAACGCCAATCGACCAAACTAGTGAGGCCGTGTCTGCCAATGAAGGGGACAGACTCGCAGCCGCCCGGGACGGTGGCTGCCCCGACAAAGGCCGAGGACGCGGCAAGACGAAGACGAACACCGCATCTATCCCAGGGCCCGACGCAGCAGCTCCAGCCCCATGGTCCCACTACGGTCTCTTCGAACAAGGCACACACAAGATTCCGCTATTGCCTATGGTGCAACAACGAACTCCACGAGACAGTGGGCTGCCCGTCGAAAGGCGAAGGCAAATCGGGAAACTGAGCACCACCGGGAGTGAGTCGACGACACTCTCGACGCTTTCGGAACCGGTCGCTTCGCAGGTGACCGCCCTTCGTTCTGAGGCACACGCGGAATTCGGTAGTCCTCCTCTTCTATATTCTTACGAGGACTATCCTGCCCGGCTCGTTCCTACGCTGGGTACTCATGCTCAAGGACAAGACGTGTGTGCGACATCTTCTCCGTTCGACAGCGTTGACTTATCGTCTTCCAGTGGTTCTTCACGGGATTCGGCTACGAAGTTTAATTTTATTTTTTTTTTAAGCATTTTTTTTTTCCTCTTGGATTTGGCTACGAATTTCGAGATGTCCAAGGAATATGAGCGACAGCGATTAACAAAAAACCAAGTTGCAAAATCACCCAGAAGTCCAGATAGTCATGTACACAGCAGAGAGCTCAACTGCACCAAGATTCCATCCAAATAAGAGCGATACAATGAATTTGTGAACCAATGTCCAAGCCCTCAGGTCACACCAACACCGTGTCCAATGTCGCTCCTACTGTATGGCGCCTAGTGCCCAGCCTACTCTACTCTGCCTATCTGCCCTATGTACATCCATGCAACAGGCTCGCTTCGTCGTTGAAGACCAATGTACATGACGTCAACACCAATGCCGACCTTCCACATATACAAGGAACGTTCTCTCGTCTCCCCCCTCATCACCCCTTGTACCCCACACCTCATGCGTCTCCTACCTTAAGAACACCTTTGCCATCACCTACCTTCGCGCCCCTACAGCCCGGCTATGGCTGTTGTGCGCCCCGCTGCCCATGCAGCTCCTTTCACCTCAACGCCCGTGTGTGCGCTCGGCCAGCCAGCTATTGCAGACACCAGCAAAGTAGCGCAGCAGCGTGTCCGCATTGCCCGCTAAGGCCTGATTGCTTTGCCCTGGCCAGTTTCCTTCCTTTATGGAAGGCGCAGCCTCCTTTCTGGCTGCGTGGGCCTTGCCGGAAGTTTCCACTACCTTCTGGTCGGGCCCCAGTGTCTGCGCCCAGGCCCACCTCTACAGTTAAGGGCCTGGGCCTCTTTTGGTTGGGCACCATCAGGTAGCATCCAGGCTCCAAGTGTTTGTTGTTTTCATATTGGCCCGCGATGCCTGTGTGACAACAATGCTGCATTCTCATTGGCCTGCGGCCACTTCGTGATGTGACGGCCTCACACTGCGTGTGCCCAGGGCGCAACCACCTGTGTCCTAGGCTCAACTGTTGGACGCAGCTTCTCTTTCTGGAAGGAGCCAGGGAGAGGCCTACCTTGCACTTCAACCAACTGGCGTGCTGCATTGTTTGATACCCAATTGGAAAATGCTGAGATAAGGGCCTCTCGTGGATATTAAAGCCCGCCTTCACTTAGGGTGGGCACAAGGCTTTTTGACGGGGCCGCAGCCCATAACATGTGCATGTCTGATAAGGGCCCTGCGAGGGCTCATTCCTCGCATTCCATCCCCCTTAGCTTCGAAAGTCCACTGAGATGTTTCTACGCAGGTGCCTTCCCCTGCAGTCTTCTTTCATACTCAACCACGAGTTGAGGTGCTATCTTAACAAGCTCCTGTTTTGTGAACCATCGGTCTTCCTTGGGATCTGTATGATGCCCGAATCTAACCCTGTATTCCCTCATAGGTTTTGGCGGTCTTCCCCTGCCAGCAGGCTTGGGAAGAGGCAAGCCTCTGTGTTCCTGTATATCGTCGACGTCCTCGTGGCCATCCATGGTTGGGGGCAGCATTGACCTTCTTGATGGGAACTGTTGTGTCTCAGCGAAAGGTGCAAGCTTTGTGGCGTTAAACACAAAGTAAGTGCGTAAGTGACCAGGGATACGAATAACGTGCGAGGGACCGTCCAATTCCATACCCACGATAACAGAGACCTCCCAAGGACCAAAGTACTGAGGCATTCGTTTCCTAGAGATGTCGTATTCGTGTCTTATCTCACTAGCCTTAACCCAGACATGTTCCCCAACCTGAAATGTGGACTGTCGTCGATGTTCGTTCTCATAAGCAATCATTGCTTCGACAGCTTGCTGAAGCAACTTCTCATACTGGACACCAAATTCTATGGTTCCAGGAGTTGCGACATGTCGGTTTTCAGGCAGGGGGAAGTCTAGAGCAGATATAGGCTTCCACCCCAAATGCAGCTGATTAGGACTGACACAGGTGGTACTGTGTACAGAGTTGTTGTACAGGTTGGCGATGAGAGGCAACTTCTCATCCCAGTCATCCTGGCTGGGCTTAAACCACCAATACCTTTGGCGTCCGGTTTCGACAAGTCCTGGCCAGTACCCGAACTTTCAGGAGGCCGAGCCCGACGTTGATCAATCTGATCGGCAACCGTCGTTTAGTTTCAGCCTCCTGAAAGGTCGGAGGCCGAGTATTTTCGAACCGACAAAGGTACTGGTGGTTTAATGTAATGCCTCAATAGATGCTGCACCACTTGGTTCGTCTGTTCAGCTTGCCCGTTGGCTTTAGGATGATTCCCCGAAGTCATTTGGAGTTGATTGCCCATCTGTTCCGCAGCCTTCTTCCACATCTCGCTTGTGAAATGGACATTTCTATCGCTAACGATGAACTTGGGCAGTCCAAAGTTACGCACCCAATTATCCATGAATAACTTGATGACATGATCAGTCCTCGTGGTCTCAAGCATTGGCCATTTGTCTAGCTTACTTAGTAAACCTATCAACTAGGCCATTTTGTTGGTCACAAGGGTATCCATGAAGTCCATGGAGACGCTTTGTCCCAATAGGCAAGGGCTTTAGTAACCCAAGCGGAGCTTGAGTTCGCGGTTTGTCCCGTTGACAGACTTGACAGGTATATACATACTTCTTTGCATCGTCCAACATGTTAGGCCACAAAAAAATGCTATACTAAATTTGCACTAGTCTTTTTGTAACCAAAATGACCCGTTGCGTTATGGCACTCTCTTAAAAATAAACTACGCAAAAGTTGACTAGATGGAATGCACAACCTTTTAATCCCCGCCTTCACAAGGAAAAGTAAATCGTCCACCACCACAAACTCGTCAGATGTTGCTTTGTCTTTTTCATCTAGTTTGCGGATGATGTCCATCATGATGGGGTCTTCCTTGTAGGTTTCCACCAATGATCGAGTTTCATCATCAGATATGTCAAACTCAGTGATTGGCGCACCTAGGTAGTCTTCCCTACGTGACAATGCATCAGCAACCTAGTTATATTCTCCTTTCACGTAATCTAGCTTGAAGACGTATTGATCTATGACTTCAATCCAGCGTTTGAGTGCATCGGAGAGAACATGTTGTGTCTTGATCCACTTAGTGTTTGATGGTCAGTTCTCAAGTAGAAGAACCTTCCCAATAGCTAGTGTTTCCAGTGGACAAGTGCTTTGTAGAGGACGTAGAGTTCCCTTTCGTAGGTGGACTTCGCCAACTTCTTTGATGACATCTTCTTGCTCATGTACTTGATTGGTCTCAACTTCTTCCCTTCCTGTTGGGCCAGCACTGCACCAGTACCATATTGGCTTGTGTCAATGGTCACAACGAATGGCCTCTGAGGAGCGGGGAACATGAGAACCTCATGATGCATGAGAGCATGATTCAGTCTTTTGAAAGCAGCCTCGCAGTCGGTTCATTCCCATGATGTGTCAAGGCGAGTTAGGTCAGTCAAACGGGAGGGCATAGCGCTATAGTTCTTCACGAAGTTGCGATAGTAGTCGTTCATCCTTAAGAAAGATTTGACATCAGTCACTGACTGAGCTCGTGGTCAGTCTCGAATGTTAGCCACCTTAGCATTTTTGGGCCTTATCCCTTTCGCGGATATCTCATGACCCAAGTACAAGATTTTAGTGGGACCAAACTCACATTTCTCTAAATTAATTTTATACTTATGTTGTCGAAGGAGTGAAAGTACGGTTTCTACATGTTGAGCATGCTCCTCGACTATTCTACTAAAGAT